TTAGCCTGCAATACTGCGTTCTAACTGCTGGGCCCCCAGGGCTGGGAGAGACTCCATGATAGTCCCAACATTGGGCTAGGACAGGGGTGGGCAACTATGGCCCTTTTATGAATTATGGACTTCATAACTCCCAGAATTCCTGAGCAAGCCATGCTAGGTCAGGAATTTTGGGAGTTGAAGTCCACACAAGTCATAAAGGGGCCATAGTTGCCCACCTCTGGGCTAGGACATAGCACAGATTCTGAGGTGGGTTCTTTTTCTCCCTGTTCCAGAACCGTCCAGGATGATCCCTTTCCAAGAGAGAAATGGAAGCCTTGGCAACATGGAATCCTTGAGGAAGTGCCTGCAGGCCAAAAAAGACCTGGAAGTGGCGTTTGCTGAAATTGTCAAAGCCGAACAGCAAGTCAGAGACAACTGGAAAGAGGTACTTGGAACGGGTTTCGAAAGAAGCACCCCTTTGCGGTTCTAACAAGGGGGGAAACCCTTGCTTAAAACGGCTTGGCTGCCGAACTTGTCTAGCCTGGAAAACCAAGAGCATTCACGAGAGAGCTGGGGTGTGTCTTAACTTTCACCACCCGTGGACGTACGGAATCGTCCAGCAGGGTTGTGAAGATAAAAAGAATTGAGCTGAGCTCAGCTTCTGGAGACAGGGTGGATGCACCCAGGCAGTTTTCTTGGGGGCTGCAGATTAGGACTCCGGCCCGTTAACGCCGGGATTGACTCGTGGGATCCCACCAACATGCTCACCAGGTTTGACCCCGATAGGTTTTCTCTTAAGTCAGTTAAGATCATTTAGCTAGTTGCCATCTAACCGGTCATCAAGATAGAGTATCTTTCGTTTTAGGCACACTGCCATTTTTAAAGCATACCTGCTCTTATTGGGTAAAATTCCCGCATAAGGGAACAAGTGCGATATTTCCCCACAGCTCAGTTTCTCAATCCCAGCACCTTTAAGAACAAAGGTTCACGGGGAACAATGATTAACTCCGGGGGGAAAATTCGGAATTCCTTGCTTAAAGTCCCTGTGTGAAATAGCGCCCATCCCCTTTCCAAGCCTTTTAATTCCTCTTCCTGGTGAGAGGGCCGTTAGGGATCTGGGGGGCTGGAAGGAGTCCCGCCCCTCAGGATCCCTTCCTGCCGTCGGGTGGGGACCCAACCCTGCCCGAACGGCAGAATGTGGGGAGGTTAGGAACAGGAGGGGTGAGAGACTTGAATCGGAGGGATAGAATTATAGAGGTGTTTTATGGGAGATTTCTCAGTTCTCCAATTCTCGTCCCAAAGGTGCTTTCTCTCTCCCCCCTTCTTTGAAAACATTCTCATCCAAGAAGCTTCTTCAATTCGGGTCCAAGGACGTCCAGTTGCCTTTTGGGGAAAGCATCTTTGGGACGAGAACGCTAAGAGGTGGCTTTTCTTTTCTCGTTTGAAAAAGGTGAAAGCTGAAGTTCACAGTTGCATCAGTCGCCACCTGGAATGCCTGCGAAGCCGCGAAGTTTGGTTGTTGGAACAGGTTGACCTTGTTCAGCAGCTGAAGGCAGAGGCTCTGCAGCAACAAGCACAGCAGCTCTGCTGGGTAAGGGCTGAGGGGCCTCCGGATTCCCTTCCTGCGTCCAGAATTACGGGAACTTCGCCCTGACCTTGTGCGCTGTTTGTTTTTGCGGCCCAAGGCCGCAGCTTCGTACCTGAACCCTGTTCCTAGTGAGGTCACGTATTTTTGTTTAATTTCCAGTTGTTGGGACAATTCAGCAGCCTCATCCGCCAGCTGGAACAGCCTCAAAGCGGCGATCTCACCAGTCAGATGTCGGCGTGTTTTGAGAGGTGAGCAGCCCTCCGAGAGATTTGGAATGGCCGCTGTTTTCTTTACCCTGGTCGTTTCCCCACATCATTGTGGACCGTGACCTCAGCCTTTCTGGTTCTGTCACGCAAAATGAACCAGAGGGTTATTTTGGAGGTCTTGGTCACCTCTGTGGGGTGGATTGGAAGACATACGCATTCTGTGCATAAACGTTGCTTGACTTTTGGTTTGTTTGGGAAATGGCTTACCGCCTTGGTTTCTTTCTGGATTCCTCACTTTTGCCTTCTTCCCTAAGTCTTGGCAGTTTGACTCTCCAGCCGGAAGAAACGTCCGTCTTGAACTTTGAGGCTGATGTGGCATTCCTTCGCCAGGCGATCACCTCGTTTGGCTCCATTAGAACCATGGTGAGCAAAAAGGAGCCGGGTCCCCATGCAAGGATTGTCAACCTTTTCACAGGTTGTGCCACTGTTAGGACGTGGCAATATTCCAGCCCTACCAGTGGCTTAGCAAGGTGTCAAAAACTTGATGGCCGCCCCCCCCCCCCACAGCCCCCCACCGCCCTCAAGGGAAGCCAGTTGTATAAAGTCCACCCACTTTAATGGGAAACTTGTACCTTTGACCTTAAGAAGTTGTGCTCGTGGCTAGAGGGTCCTCAGCATTTCTGACCGTTTCCCCTGTTTCTTTCTCTCCATGGTCACATGATCAAAATTCAGGCATTTGGCTTATGGGTTTTCGGCGGTCGCAGTGTCCTGCGGTCATGTCATCCGTCAATCGTGTTACTAGCTTAACAACTGTAGTTGTTAAGTAACAGAGTTACTTAATAACTCTGGCAGGAAAATGGGACAAAACTGTCTCCTTTAGCAACAGAGACTTTGGGCTCAATTATGGGTCGTAAGTCGAGGACTACCTGCAATTAAAACCCCGGTTCCTGAACAAACCCCGAGGCTTCTGTGGAGAGGCTCTTTCAGAGTGACCCCCCCCCCTCTTGAAACCGCTACCACAGCCCTTCCAGTCCGATTCCACAAGAACCCGGATAAGTGACCTCGTCCGCTATTTCAAAACAGGTGTGAGCAGTTAAATTTATGTTTGCTTTGTTTCTTTAATAGCAGACTTCCGATAAAGAAGACTACGCCCCTTGGATCGCTGTGCAGAACTGTCCCGTGATGGCTAGTTTTGAAAAGGTAAATCACAGATTTGTTTGGAGGGACTGAAATTAGAGGTTGGCAGCAGAGTTTTTAAACTTAAGTCTTCTCTCGCTGTTCGCTAGGAATGTCAGTTTGGTTTGGTCTAGTGGATAAGGGCCCCGAGTTAGAAAATAGCACTTGGCAATAGCCTGCAATACTGCATTCCATCCACTGGGCCACCACACCTCTTGAGAGACCATGAGTTCAAGTCCTGCCTTAGTGATGAAAGTCATCTGGGTGACTTGGGCTAATCACTCTCTCAGGCCAACCCACCTCCCAGGTAATTGTCATGGAAAAAAGAGGAGGAGGAAGGTGTGTTAGATAGTTTTCCTGCCTTGAGTTACTTGTAGGGAGAAAAGGTGGGATATAAATCGATAAATTTAAAAATGCACAAAATCTCCACAAGAGAACATACATTTGATCTGCGGGCAAATCATTTAAGCCCTTAAGGTGCATAGCAGTTACCCAAGTAGGCTGGTGGTTGTTCAGAATTCAAGTCTAAAGAAAGGATTATTCTAAAAAATTTTGTTGGCACAAACACCCAAACTTTCTCCTCAATAGAGCTACGGGAGGCTTTTTCTATCTATCCTCGGGGAGGGAAGGTGTATATTTTGTCTGGGATTAAACTGACCTTCAGTTTGTTCTTGATTATTAGCCAAAAACTTTCCATGGAACGCTGGGCTACCCTCTCTCTAACTGGCTTCTTGGAACCAAATCTGATGGTGCCTGCCATACGCCTTATGTTCCTAGCTCTAAGCAGGAGGACTGGCTCTTGAAAACACAGGCTGAGGAGGAGGAGGAGGCCAATCAGGTATTGCTATCTACTGTCTCCATTGATAGACAACGAGGTTTTCTAGTCAGGATGGGAAAGGCGGGCCCCAAACAGGCTGAGAAGGAGAAAATTAGATAGCCAAATGGTTTATTTTCCAAGATATGCCGATGGAATGGCTCCAAATATTGGTGCTTTCTTCCTATTGTTAGGATTGTAAGGTTTCATGGTAAGATGGACAGCAAATCAATCAACCCATCTCCGAAAAGAAGCCCTCTTAAGCGGTTAACAATGTAGAAGCATTATTGCTCACCCCACCCCACTCACAGTCTGGGTCCTCATTTTATCGGTCAGGGCCAAACTCCAGGTTGTGGGTAGAGTTAGCCTGCAATACTGCAATGCTTCCTTGGCGGATCTAAATGTCAGCGGTGTCATCTTCTCCTTAGGATTTCAAGCCTTCGGAAGTGTCTTACTTGGAGAAAGCATGGGGAGACCTGAAAAACTTGGAGAACTGGCTTTTGCAGAACCAACCGCGAGACCTTCCTGAGATGGACCTCCGCCGACGGAAGAGCTCCACTTCTACCGTCGCTTCCACTTTGTCCATTGAGAAGATTGACGAGTTGGAGCTCTTCGAGCAAGACGACGGCGATCTTTCCGAATGGCTTCTTGTGCCTTCTGAACCCGAACACAAGAACGCCTCTGACGAGAAGTGGAAATGGGGTTTTAAGCCTTTCCGGGAGGAATACAACCCCAACGATTGGCTCCCTAAAACCGATTCTTGCAATCATTGTCGCGGAGCTCAAGCTACCGGGGTAGAGATAGAAAATCTCGGCAATCTGAAATGCCTCAGCGAGCACCTGGACGTGAGGAAGCCCCCGAACGCCGACAGCTGGCTTCTGCAGCAGCCCACCTTCAGAGTCGAGGATCTGTGCAGAGCCAACGAGCTGTGTTCCAGTTTTTCTGAGTGTGCGTGTGACGAGAACTGTGAAAAGGAAGCCCTGTGCAAGTGGCTCCTTAGGAAGGAAGGCAAGGATAAAAACGGAGTGCCGCGAGGAGAGGCCTTCGAACCCCAGGGACGTCGGCCTGTGCTGGACATCTGGCTCCACCCTTCTCGACAAGCGGACGGGGATTCGGCTGGCTCTGCCACAAAACAGGACACTGTCCGGGAGGTGGCAGAACCTCTGAAGGAATTGCCGGCAATCTCATTGTCCTCTTGGCTAGCCAAGCAAGAAGTCAAAGCTTCCCCTGGTGGCGAAGAGAAGGCGACCCGAGAGGAGGCCGGGGTGAGCCACAAGGGTTCCCTCCTGGAGCTGCTTGTGCCCTTCCACCACCCTTTCAACATAAACAGCTGGATCTTGTCCTCCCAAAATACAGAATTCTCCAGCCAGCCTCTCGTGGAAGATAAATGGCTGCTACGGAAGAAGGCGCATGTAAGGAGTCTCACCCAGTCCCTTAACCTGCTGAAAGCGGTCGGTGGACTTCAACTCCCAGAATTCCCCAGCCAGCTGTGGCTGAGGAATTCTGGGAGTTGAAGTCTACCCGCCTTAAAGGTGCCAAGTCAGAAGATCCTCCACCGGGAGGAGAAGCAGTTCACATGCTTCCTTTGGTGTTCTGCTACCCACTGTTTTATCTGGGAATACAAGACTTGAGACCAGTAAAATTTTCTCATCTCACAGAAACCCATTTTTTGTTTCTTACAGGACAGAGGCCTTCCTGCCGTTTGCGACCTCTTTGTATGAAGCTGAGTGGAGATAGAGAAAAATGGCTCTATCAGACGCCTTTACAGGTAAAAACCTCTCCGCAAAACGGAAGTCCACTCAGTTGCATTGTCGCTTTTTGGCGTCTTGACTAACGTCTTAGTCTAACAAACACCTAATTTGGGATGCTTCCGCGAGAACCTGATCTAGCCCAGTGCGCTTTTGGAGACCACCAGGGATTGGGTAGATAACCAGCCACTCACTGTTCTAGGTTAGAACTAAGCTTTAGCCTGTTCACAGTCCTCTTTTTTTTTTTTTCATTTCAAAGGCTTATTTTGAACATCTTGTTGTAATACTAATTCAGCCAGCGGGCTTCATTTGGGGTCTCGGGAGAACGTGTGAATGAATCGCGTGAAGCTTTTGACCAAGCCACGCTTGGCGTGCCTCTGGCTATAGCTGTCGTTCCAGTTGTGCAGGATAGCACACTTCGCTTAACTGGAAACCAGAAGCTGATGCCCATGGGTGGTGATGTGGGTTAGGGCAGGGGTCCCCAACCACCGGTCCCCGGACCGGTACCGGTCCGTGGATCATTTTTTACCGGGCTGCAAAGCTTGGGCGCCGCCATCTTGTTTTGACGGCACTTCTGGGTTTTCAGTTGCTTCCGGGTTTTCGGTTGGAAAGCGGCGTTTGGGTGCGTGCGCCTTAGTTTCGTTGAAGCGGTGGGGGTGGTGGCTTCGAACGAAGAGCCCTCCCGATGGCGGTGGAGTCTCGCGTTACTCGGGTACCGGTGCGTGGAAGAATAATCGTGAAACCGGTCCCTGGTTCAAAAAAGGTTGGGGGCCACTGGGTTAGGGCGTGCCGTTTAATGGGGTGAACATTAATTTTTGCCATTTTTTTTTTTGCCAAATTTTTGCCTGGCTAAACATTGAGATTGCATAAAGCGCCCCGCTAACTACAATCAATGAAAATATTGTGCTTTTGAAATAGTCTTCACTGGTTGACCCTGATTAGCAACTGTTTTTTATTCTGACGCCCCAATTCTGGGTTTTTGTTTCCTAGATGTGAAAAAAAGTTTAAAACAAAAACAAAAACAAAAAAAAACCCCACCCCGCAGCGTGATCCAAACGATCGCTTTGATTTTCCTGCTGATCATCGCACACCTTGGAATGAGTGACTCTGCAGCCTGTCGCTTCTCCTGCGTTTTTGACCACCTGTCTTCTCCAGATTTCGAACGTCACTTTTAAAAGCTGTTATGTAGCCGGTGTTGGGAAATGCAGAAAATGTGGACCTTGGAGTCCTCAAAACAAGAAGTGCCCTTGTTGGCTTCTCTTGGTCTGGGACGCGAAGAGCCTGTTTGCGACCTCATCTCACTAAAGCCGTTAAATGTCAAAGCCAGTATTTTTTGAAATAAATTCTGACAGGATGGCCTTTAGCTGGGGTGGGAGGTGGGGAGAGGCAACATTTGATCCAGAGCACAGACCACTAGCCCTTCTTTCCAGCTCCCCGTTTTAAATATATTTACAGAACACGTTCACGAGGTACAGCTCTCTTGCGAAGAAGCCATTAGGGCCCTTCTGAATTGTGTGTTTTATATAATGTAGATGCCCTCTTCTCAGCTGAAAGACAGCATGCCCTATGGATTGGCACGGGGCACCTGGCAACGGTCAGGATACCCTGGTTAAGGGAACTAGGATGGGAAGGGAGTGGGCGAAATTGAGCACAGGGTGGATGAAACGCGTGTGGTTTTAAAGCCCGGTCCGAAGTACAAGTTGTATCCTTCGTACTGCAGAACAAAAATTTAAATTTTTATTTCTCTCATGCTATGAATTATAGCGCCCCGACAGGTTGACAGTAGCCTTAGAAACTTTAATGCTGAACTTTTGAATACCACTTTTACCTGCTTCCACCATTTGTGGGGGCAACTTTGAAAAGTTGCGATACTAACTTTTTTTTTTTTAAATGAACGTTTTTTGTTTTTTAATTGCTCTTGGCTTAGCACAGGTACACTTTTAATTTGGTCTTTCCGGCTGCCCTGGGAATTAACCGCTGCGTTCTCAAAAACCTGTTTGCCTTTTTTTAGTGCTTAACACAAGGTATCTGCTCAGGGTCCCGAAAGGGTCTGTGGAAGACCTGACTGATACAAAGTCATGCAATCAAGCTGCTCCCCCCCTCACCCCCCCCGGTGTCTTTTACGTTAATCCAATGTTTGTGACGCTAATGAAGTATGCCATTAAACTGTTGTGAATCAAAAGCACGTTTGCGTGAAGCTGTTCTTTTTGTAGCTCTGCTGAGATGGGGTTGAGCAAGGTGGATTCTGGGCCGGTCACCGGGACCAAACAACGGGTGCTTCTCCGAGTTCTCGGACTCTTTCCCGTCGGAGCGCATCTTCAAGGAAGGCTCTTCCTGCAACTCCCGGAACGGCCCAAAGCAGCCATTCCCGTGGAGAGGAGTTCCCTAAAAAAGGCTCAGAGGAGGAGGACCACCTCCCCAGATCCGGCCTTGCATCTCTCTCTCTCTCTCTCTCTCTCCTGGAGGGCACAGACCTGCCTCCTTCGTTCACGGCTTGGTGGTTTGAAATCTGCAAAAAACACCTAAGGCTCCTTCCCCCCCCCCCAAGCTGCCTGGCGTCACAGAGCGGGTCAGGTTCTCCAACTGTCTCAACAGAAGGCGCTCTATGCTTAGATAGGCATCAAAACGTTTGTGATGTCATTCTGGGCCTTTTTGTACCATTTATCGGCCGTTGATGGAGAACCATGCAAAATTCAAGGTTTTTTGTTCGGGTCCTCGGAAGTTGTTTTTCCTTGCAAAACAGGGAATGTGCTCGGGGCCAGAAAGCCGGCCTGGAGTCTTGGCAGATATACGGGCCTATCTGGGGGCTAGTTGACCCTGGCTGCACTCCGTGGCTTTCTCAATCTCCCAGGGTGGTCTGCCACCGTCAGGGAACCGGCCCTGCTCAATGCCACCAATGACCACGGGCCATTGGTGGCCGTGATGGGCGCCATCACCTTACAAACAGAGAGCAAGTGTGGTGTGTGTGACGTGGCTCCCAGTTGTGCTTTTCTGCACAAGCTTATGGCCAAGGGTAGTGTTCAACCACAGCACACGGCTCTCTAGAATGAGAGGCTGAGAGCTGGAAGAGGAGAGAACCCCGACAATGTAAACTGGAGGGGAGGAGGTGGGGGGGGGGGGAGAGGAGGGGGGCCTGGCTTTTCCAACCCATTCTGAAAGAACTTTTTTATTATCGTACGCTCTAGAAATCGTTCTGAGTCGAGCTTTTCTTCTTAAATCATGCACTCCAACATTTACGTCTGGTACTACGGATTGTCGAAAGTTACCAGAACGCGTTTTCAGTTCCGCATCCAGAAAGTTGTCCGTGAAAGGGCAGCACACAGGGCAGCAAGCGTTTTAACTAGAAGGGAAGTGGTACCCTTGACACACCTGCCGGTGGTTTTCTGTGGGTGCACTGTGACTGCCACGTTCCTCTCTCCCTTGCCGCGAAGGAAGGATTGACTACCTCCCTTGAATGCCCACCCCTGGGGCTCCGCTGAGGCCAGGCCGTAGGCAGCAGCTTTTAGAAACACCGGTCCGATGAGCAGAAGTCGGTTTTTCAGCACACACTTTATTTACAGTCAAATCAAGCAACGGTCTCTGCGTACAAACAGAGTGAAAGTGAATCATGCTTAATACGGAGATGGGAGCTTCATCTTGGCAGATAAAATGGCCCCTTTCACCACCCGTTGCTCAAGAACCGGGCCGTGGCGGAGAAACCCGGTGGTCTTTGGGGCGGGTGGGGTGTCCGCTAGGTACTGTAACGCAGGGGGTCAAGTCTGATTGCGCTCCGTGGCTGGAGGCTCTGTCCTCCGCTCCGCTCAAAGGGACTGCTGTTGCATGGAGCCCTTCATGTGCTCCCAGTTGCTGTAGAGCGCATAGAGACCTGTGAGCATGAGTCCCGCAATGCCACCTCTGGCTACCCCACGCAATCCACCTGTGAGAGGACACGAAGCAACAGTCAGTACAGAAACCTCACCAGCCGGCGGCCTTCAGCTGTGAGCCTCCCCCCCCCCCCAGCGAGGCACGCAGGCCGCACCCTCTGCTCTCACATCCAACAGGATGGAAAAACGTACCCAGTGGGGTGTGTGTGTGTGTGTGTGTGTGTGTGTGTGTGGTGTTAGGATCTGGAGGGAGGCTGCAATGGAAATGCTTTCCAGAAAAGTCAGTAGCAGCCAAGTTGAAGCAGACAAGACTGGCAGCCATCGAGGCTAGGAAAGATCAGCCCCTCATACAGCACCAACATGTCTTTTTCTCACGTCCCTCAATAGCCTGAAATGCCCAGGAACAGAGCACAGGTGCCGGCCCTCCCTGCTTGCCGTCTTGGTTATGGGCCCTCAAACACCCTGAAAGGCCAAACGGAGCCGGTGGGGTGTGTGTGTGTGTCCAGGCTCCACGCTTGACTTCCTTTCCCTTCTGTCTGCTGAGCGATAGGCTTCAGCGCTTCTCCTCCGCCCCTGCAATCAGCCCCACCTGCGTGGGCCAGATAAGAAGCCAGCTCACCCCCACCCCCCAACCAGCCTCACAAAGCGGCTGCTCACCACCCTCTCTCACCAACGCCAGCTTATTCAGAAGAGGAAGAAAAGGAGGTTTATCCTGACACCACCACCTGGAGTTTTCTTCCCAGCTAGTAAGGTCTCGCTGCAACACGGCCCACCAATGGGAGACCTGTGGACTTCCACTCCCGGAATTCCCCAGCCAGTCCTGCTGCAGAGCATGTCAGCAAATGTGAAGTTTCCTCTCTCTCTCTCTCTCTCTCAAAGAGCAGGGGGCCCTCCACCAGAGATAGGCAGGTGGACCAGCCACGCCTAGTCAGGCAGATGTTCTGAAGAAGGGATGATATCGAGGGACCTCTGACTCAACTGGTGGCGGAAATGCACAGCAGCTCCTCCCCTTCCCTTCCGGCAGGTCTCGGATCCCAGCCATGGAGAAGCCGCCCCCTGACTCCCATGTATACAGGGCAAATCCTACGCAATCTGAAGCGGCTCCCTCTCCAAAGGAAAAAGAAGTGGGCAATGATTGGGAGCTGCCATTATGCTTCTCACCTCCCCCCCCCCCAAAGAAACTGGGAGAGGCAGGGCGATTGTGCCACTCCGGACAGGGTGTGTCACCCTTGGGACCCAGACTCCAGGTTGGGGAGTGGGGTGAGAGAATGGTCTGAGGGTGACTATAATGGGCCATCCATTCTGCAGGAGCCATTCTGGGTACACCCGAACACTTGGGGTGCTAGCTCGTCTTGTGATAGTCCTATGCCCTGTCGGAGCCCTTGGTATCCAAATGCTCAGATCATGAAATGCCAGGACACAAATCTGATCCCAAGGGGCCTTTTAAGCGTCAGCCAAGATTTGTAACTTCTAGAAAGCATTACAAGCTCAAAGTGCCTTAATAGACCCTCGCGCCTTCCCTTTATAAATCAAAGGCACCTGCCCTGCACCGGAGAAACACACGCGTGTGTTTGCTTCCAAACCCGTGCTGACCCAGGAGGTCTCTTTTGCTCAGCACACTTGCAACAAGCCTTGTGCCGCACAGGCTGCCTGGACCGTCTCTGGAACGGAGACAGCACCCAGCAGAGCCTGAGACGGCCCTTTTTCATCTCCCAGTAGGGTAACGCTGTCACAAAGGCATGGAAGTGGCCCAGGCAGCTGACTGCCACTGGGAAGGATGCCCCCCCCGGGGGGGCAGCAAGGGGGAAGAGAGAGAGAGAGAGAGAAGAGAAGAGAAGAGAAGAGAAGAGAAGGAGGTCTTTGTCATCTTGTTCTGGATAGGAAGCCAACCACCCACTCATGGGAAAACCTCCTTCCTCGGGTGAAGGAGCCCTCCTCCAAGCAGAGTCAATCCAAGAGTCCCTTCTCATAACGCCAAGTCTTGAAGAAAAAAACGAGGCCTAACCAGACTTTTACTGGTCAAGTAGTCCTTGACTTACAACAGTTCATGTAGTGACTGTTCAAAGTTACCTCTTTCATAGTGTTGAAAGGCTGGAAAATGCCTTTCTTCTGAGGATTCGGTTTTCCTGCTGGGAGGGCTCCAGTGCAAGGACACAGACAACTGCTTGGAAGCGGGTTCCTTTTATTTTTCAGGAAGGCAAGAGATAGCAAGAAGTCTGCGTTCCTGGGGCTAGCCATCTTTGTATAATAAACCCCTGATTTTTATACCTTTTCTCCTTTTGTGTGTGAGTGCTTGTGTTTGTATTTCTTAATGTTTTAAATCCTGTCAGGGGTTGTCTTCCTAATGTTTTCTTATATTTGTTTGGTGGCAATCTCCTGTCTGCTATGGAATTTATTTCGTGTCTTTTGTCTATTTGTTTTGCTGATTTGGCATGACCTTTTGTTTGTAAGGGATTTCTTTTTCTTGTTTCCCTAGCTTTCTTAATTACTTGGCTTTTGTCTAGGGGGCTTCTTTCAATACCTTTTATTAAATCTCTTTTCCTATGCAAGTTTGTTTTATGACTGGCCTGATGTTCCCTTTGGGCCTTTCCTGCTTGGGTGTCACCACTGTCCTCATGAAGTTCCCTTTCCACAATAGTTATGACCATTGTGGGACACCCCCCCCCCCCCCCCGGCCATTGGACCAACATCAGGTGTTGGAAATTGACTCACACTTATGACGGTCGCAGTGTCCCCTTGGGGGTCACCGGATCCCCTTTTGCGACTTTCGGACAAGCAGAGTCAACGGGGAGGCCGGATTCCCTTCACAACCGTGGGACTCACTTAACCACTACAGTGCTTCACTTAACCACCGTGGCAAGAAAAAGTCCTCAAATGGGGCAAAGCTCCCTTCACCCAAGTCTCAACGTAGCCACATAGATATCGGGCCCAAGGGTGGCCGGATGTGGAGGACTCCCCACACACAGTGAGCTCTTGGGGTGCCCTGGGGTGCCTCGAACGATGCCGTTAAGCGACTGCTTGCAGGCCCAGAGAGGCCCGTTCCAATCCCAAGGATGGAAACGCCGCCAGGGCAAGAAACGTTACTGGGCGTCACTGGTGAGGAGAAGTGAAATAAATAAAGGGTGGAAGGTTCACTTTTGTACCTTTAAGCAAACAGAACAAAGAGCTTCACGGCCTCCACTCCTGCCTGGATCCAAGGCTGCACTGGAGAGAGGGGGAAGAGGGGCAGGAACAGCTGCACTAGGGAGAAGTTCAGGCCAATAAAAAAAGAGCGGGTTGACCTCTCCCCCTCTGGCCTCTGCTTTTCTCCTCCTCCTCCTCCTCCTCCTGCTTCCTGGAGGGGAGGGAGGGCTGGCTGGGAAACCTTAGGGGGAGCAGTCGGTGGGGTCAAAGGTCAGGGGGATTTTAGCCCCCCCCCCCAATCAGTCAGGTAGGAGGACTAGGATGGACAAGGGCTCCCTCATCGATCACTAGAGAAAGGATGAAGGACGGGGCTAGGATCTTATCTTCGATGCACAACGGTTCATTTAGTGGCCGTTCCAGTTACAACAGCACTGGAAACCGTTACTTGCGGCTGTGTTTCACATTTACGACCTTCGTAGGCTCCCCAGGATCAACAGTCAGGTGCTCGGCAATGGACAACACAGACATGACCGTTGCAGCGTCGGGGGGGGGGTTGTTTCCCCACAGGACCCTCTTTAGGGACCTTCTGACCAGGGGAGTCCACTGGGGGGAGGGGAGGAGGAGGGGGAGAGGCCGGATTGACTTCACAACTGTGGGACTGACCGAAGGGCTGCAGCCCTCGGCTGAAGAACCGTGGCAAGGAAGGTCGTGACAGGGAACCCCCCCGAGACTCGCTTAGCAACAACAGAACCTCCCTGGGGCTCAATTGCGGCCCTTGAGCCAACCCCCCCCCCCCACACACACCTGTGCTCTTATACAGCATCCCCGTCATGGTGCCGGCTGCCACCGTGTTGAGGTCGTCTTCGGCCCCCCGGGTCTTCTCCACGATGACCCCGAAGGCACTGTAGAGCAGCGCTGCAAGGGAAGTGGAAGGACGGCCGTCAGGGGGAGCCCCAAGGGGGGGGGCACACATGGACAGTCGCGGCCTCCACCCACCCACCCTCTTCCGGCCGGGCTCGGGGTGGGGGGGGGGCAGGAGAGAGAAAAAGGGACGTTCCTGGCCCACCCTTCTCGTGGGCCTCAGGGCGGCAGGCAAACTGACCAGCGGGGGGCTGCGAAATAGAAAGAGCCCCCCCTCCCTCCCTGACTGGAGCTGCCGGAAAGGGCTGCCATCTTTGTGGGCAACAATGGCACAGAAAAAGTGACTTTAGGGCCGCTTTTCACCCCTGCCACCGTTGCGGCCTCTCCGTGGTCAAGGGATAGAAATTCAAGCGCTTGGCCGTTGACTCATTTTTATGACCGTTGCAATGTCCCCGGTGTGCGTGTGTGTGACACGATCCCCTTTTGCGACCTGACACCCGCGTGACTCGCTTAAACGCAGGGATTCCCCTGAACCAGCGGAACAAAGTGGGCCTGTATCAGACCCCTGGCGGGCCGGACCAGCGGGTGCTGCCCTCGAGGACTATGCTGGACCACTGGCTGGAAGGCAGCATCGCTGGCTCAGACTCAGCCTTCCGTCCTTCCAAGGTGGGTAAGAGGAGGACCCGGACTGTTGGGGGGGGGGGGGAGGAGGCTGGCTCTGTCAACTGCCCAGAGAGGACTGGGAAGCAGCATGGAAGCCTAAGAAGGGCCATTGCGACTGTCAAGCCAACCCCTCCTCCCGCAAGGCATGTTAGACTTGGAGGCATTGGACACACGCATGCGCACGCCCAGACCTAAGGATGGAAACCTGGAGAGTTAGCCTCTTTTTAGCTTTCATGGTCTTCAAACCACCTTTATCAGGCTTAATGAGATGGCAAGATCCTGGACGGCGCAGCTGCCTGCCTGGCGGGCGGGTGAGTAATCTCACCGCCCGCCAGTCATCTATCAGAATCCACGCTTTTTGCACAACAGCAGGCCAGGGTAAAAGACCGGGAATACACACACACACACACAGGAATATTGCCCAAGAAAAACCAACACAGCTGTGGAGCGCCTGTTAATGGATCACCGCTCCGCGTGGAACTCTGAACCCAGCCACCTTTGAGCCTTACGCCTCAGGAGGGCCCATTTCCCAAGGTGGCAATCTAGACTGCAGATAGCATCGGGTAGGGTGAAGTGGACCTCTGGATCTTCAGCGAACAGCAAAACCATCAGCAGCTTCAAACCATGAATTTGGATTGAGTGCACTCTACTGGCAGAGTTCTCTACTTATGGCCATTTGCTTAGTGGCCGTTCAGTTGCCACAGCACTGAAAAACAGGGCCTCGGGACCTATGGCAGCACCCCACAGTCCCGTGGTCAAAACCTGGCCACGGATTCACAGCACTTGTAGAGCACCCTTGCGGCCACGTGATCTCCCCATTGGCAGCCTTCCCAGCTGACTTCCGACAAAAGCAGAGTCAGTGGGGGAAGCCAGATTCATTCAACAACTGTGTGGTTCACTTAATGACCAAGGCAGAAAAGCTTGTGTGGACCACTTAACACTGCCTTGCTGAGCAAGGGAAATTCTGACCCTGACTGCAGCCGTAAGTCAAGGACCATCTTTATGCCAGTCGGCCGGTCGGAACTCCTGGGTCCAGCCTACAGTTCCAGTTGGATCTTAAGGGTTCCTTCCTTTTAGCAGCCATGTGTGTGTGTGTCTGTGTCTGTGTGTGTGCGTGCGCGTGTGTGTGTGTTCTTTCTTTTGGGAAAGAAGAAAAGTGAGACAGAACACGCACATACATACATACATATATATATACACACACACATACATACACATATATATACATATACACACATACATATGTACATATACATACATACACACATACATACACACATATGTATGTATATATATTTTGAAAAACAAGAGTTTTGTAGATTTAGATTATGAAATGAACCCACTTACCCAGAGATCCAAGGGTGTTTGCCCATAACGCTCCTTGCCGTGTCACCATGTTTAAAATTCTTTGAGAAAGGAGCAAAAGGGGTGTTTAGTGCGACGCCCAAATTATAGGCCAGTCAATTCAACACTGCCTGCCAACACCCTGCCTTATATAACTTCTTCTGCATTAGGCAATGACGATTAAAGGACAAGCCAACTCTTCCCATGAAAGAACTCTGTGTTACATTAAATATTTCCATGTAATTTTACTATGCAATACCTGGATTAGCAATGGCGTCAAAATAATTTCCTGCCAACATGTTTATGTAACTTTAAGACAGTCGTTATTGTCAAGTAAATCTGGAACTTTTGTGTAAGTCCAATTTGGCACTACCCAATCCATCTGCAGCCAAAAACATGTTAAAACCACTTGCATAATTAGCATTTACTGCAGCACAATCCATACAAACAGCAATTATTTCAACAACAAACAGTTTAAACCAAGTAGCGAATGAACTGATCTGCGAGATCTTGGAGAATCACTACTAGTACCTGACAAGACAAATGATTGTGTAGATGAAAGAGAGGGGGGGGGGAAGAGAGGGAGAGAGACAGAGTGGGGAAGGAAGGAAGGAAGGAAGGAAGAAGGAAGGAAGGAAGGAAGGAAGGAAGGAAGGAAGAAAGGAAGGAAGGAAGGAAAGGTAGGTAGGTAGGTAGGTAGGTCTTCGTCATCTTCTTCGGGATACGAAGCCACCCATCCACTTATAGGAAAACCTCCTTCCTCGGGTGAAGGAGCCCTCCTCAAAGCAGAGGCTCTTTGGGGACTTGCTTTCTCTAAACTCTGGGGTCTAGAGTCCCCTCCTATAACATACGCCTGAGAAAGCCTGAGGAAAACCAACTGAATTTGTGTACTAGAAGTACATGCTGAAAGTACATGGACAAGAGGGAGCTGAGTATTTGCAGCAACTGCGGTGCTTTGGACCCAGCCTGTTATTTCAGTTTCATAGGGCTACCAACACCACTCGTCATTTTAGCTTACTTGAACATATACAGAAAGGCAGTTTGTTGAAAGCTAAAATCAGTATTGCAAATAGGCAAAGTAACGAACTGTCTGCTGCCCTTTCAGTTCATCTCCCCTTGCAGTGGGATGGTTAGAAGCCCCAAAATAAAGCAGTAAGAAGCCAGGAAATAACCAATAACGTTTCAGTTTATTTTTGTGTCCTGGTCAAGCCTCTTAACTAATCCTCACCAGGGAAAAGATAAGAGACGATGGCTGTTGACCGTCAAAGGCACAGGGGCAAGAGAGTCCACCTGTTCAACAAACGAGAGCGGACTGTCTACCTTCACGCTCATACGCCTAGAACTCAGAAGTCAAACGAAAACCACAATGGCTCTATGTGAAATGAACAGGAGTGAAGTCCACGTAGCCATCGTTTCCAGGCTGGGAAAATGAACCGGCAAAGAAATAGGCTCCCTGGACGTATGAATAGTTTACCAAGCCAGGGCACATAGACAGAAGTGGGGGCCTGCTGGTGAAAATGGCAACTTCTTAGATTAAGGTGGGATTTCACAAGCTTTAGGACGGCATGAGGGCCCCCCCCACTCCCCCAAATAATGGTGCCAATGGTGATGAAAATAGTGAGCATCCGGGGCTTCTGTTTGTTTACTAGAGGTCCCTAAAATGGCGAGTTTGGTGCTACCCTCTGGCTCTATGGGACAGCCCTGCCCAAATCAGGGCTTCCCCTCCCTGCCTTCTCCACGAGGAGGTAATCGGAAGGGGGCCTGCCCTGTACCTCTGGGTTTCCCCATCCAGCATTATGAGAGACCCGGCACCCCAACTTCACGCCCTGCCTCTGCCGCTCCCCTCTGGGGTGAAGCTTTCGATTCACACCTCTTAGCAGGACTACCGGATCCCGTCACTGCCTTGTTCCCTCTATGCCGCCTGTCGGGCAAACGGAAGGGGATCCGTTTCTCTTGCCGTGTCCATCTATATGTCCGGACTGGGCTGTTCTGTTTCTCCGTGTCAGATCATACATGTTGGGGGTAGGCCTAATTTTGTGTTTATTTCGTCGTGTTTGCGTAGCACAGAGTGGAGGGGGGGTGAGCCTTTGAGAGCTGTATGCATTGAAGTTTCACTTTAAGGTGTGCCGATTAGTGTCCCTTCAAAGGGGCCATAAAAGTCATTCTAAGCCTACCCTTTGGGTCCCCCGGAAATTTGTAACCCCCCCACAATTGGCCCTCTTGTCCCAGCCATGCTGGCAGGTTGAAGCAAAGGCTGCCAACGCAACACCCCACCCCCCGCCAGCCCTCCCCTCTCCTGCTGTCTACCTCGCAAAGGGGAACTGAAGTCTGGCGCCATCTGCTGGTTCAAACGATCTCATGATTCTCATTTGATCATTTTTAAGTCTAGAATGACCCCCAGAAGCATCTGCTGTGTTTCTTAGAAAATAAGACTGGGCCTTATTTCCTTTAGACCCCCCCGAAAAACGGCTAGGCTGCCTTTTTGAGGGATGTCTTAATTTGCCCCCCCACATGCCTCGCCTAGCCACTGGGCCGCTTCTCTCCCGCGCACCCTTGCCTCTGCACCAGCCCACTTCTGTAGGGGCTGAAAGGAGCTGTTAGTCAAGCTTAGCGCAGACTGGAGGGAGAATGGCAGGCAGGAAAATCCCCCCTCCCCATTTCCCCCCCTCTCCAAAAAGCCTCCTTCCAAAACTTCAGCATTCGGAATGGAGGCTTTTTGGCGAACGGCAGGAAAATGGGGAGGGGAATTTTCCTGCCTGTCATCCATTCCTCAAGCTCTCCCCCCATCTCCCCATTTTCCTGCCTTTCGCAAAAACGGCTCCACTCCAAGCCTTCGGTGTCTCCCAGGACCCTGCCAGGCTTGTTGTAGCGTTGCGCATGCAAGTGGCGGCACTGCTATGAGGTTCGTCCCATCGGCACAGCCTCTTCGAGCACGACCCGGCAAGGACTGCTGTGCCATTGCGCGTGCGAGCCCCGGCACTGGATACACTGGCGCAGCCGCTCACGGCAGGATGCCAACTGCACCGGTGTGATGAAGCTCACGAAGGCGCTGCCATTCGCCACAACAAGCCTTGCAGGGTCCTGCTCCAAGAGGAAAGGATAACGGGCAGGAAAATTCCCCGCTCCTCATTTTCAGGCCTTTCATGAAAATGGCTCCACTCTTGAGTCTTCAGTGCCTCCCAGGACTGCAAGGCTGAAGGCGCCATTCCGAACCTCCAGCGCTGCAATCCTGGGAAACGCTGAAGGCTCAGTTTGCCCCGCTCTGCAGCCAGACAGTTCCCCCCCCCCCCCCCCCCCCCAGCGCCAGCCATGCCCATCCCCCCCGGGCTTATTTTCGGGGTAGGGGTATTATTAGTCCCCCCAAAAGCTTAGGATTTGCTTATTATTGGGGTGGGTCGTGTTTCCTGAGAAACACGGTAGTTATTAGTCACACTTTTTTGTTTCACACTCACCCAAGCAGAAAATGCAAAAACATGCCCTCTCTAGCCTCTTGAAATGCAACTGCCGTTCCAAAATAAACTGAGAGCAGTGGTACAATTACATGGCACCATTTTGACTCAAGTTTTTCAACAAAAATCCATTAAAAATTTCCCAGGTTATGTAAGTCATCCCTTAGAGCCCTTTTTTTCTAATTTAAGGTTGTTGTTTTTTAAAGAGGACTGATGAGATTTTTTTTCATGTCTATCAAATAATAAATTCATCCCAAACTTAAACCATCTTAGCAGAAAGGGGACAGTCTGTTAAGGAAATCATTCATATTTTTCACCCAGGCTTCTTTTACATACAGCTCCAATAACCTCTGTTTGCCTCAACCTTCTGGACCTCCTGACACAACCAGCGAACTGGAGCAGAGATTAAGCAAACGTGTGACAGCCACACTGGTCGCACATCATGAATAGCTCTGCCTTCTCCCAACAGAGAAGGAAGTGAATGGCCTCTAAGGAAATCAAATACTTACTGTACATTTCTAGGTTTGGACCAAGCCATGTTTTGTGTCTCCTTTAAGCCTAGTCGCAAGCCATTTAATGCCCCAAAAGCAGCTCCTATTTGGGTAAATCAGAACAGAACAATGTGTAAAAAGGATGATTGACCTAATGCTTGTAGTTCAAAACCAGTGAATTGTTCTCCAACATTACTGTGACAGTGATGCTTTTATGAGTCACATTATAGAAACCATTGGCAATGTCATGGAGACCTGAATTAAGGCTTTTCTCAGTCTTTTTTGGTTCTGCTCTTGAATATTCCTTTCTCTGACTTCAGTAACCCGGACTGAATAAAAACAAATACTAAAATTTACAGACTCCCTAAAATATAATAAAGAATAGTTGGTGAATGTGCAGTAAAATAACCTCTCCAAGCAATCTTCAGCAGCTTTTAAATTGCTTACAAAACTGTTAAAGCCAACTGGATAAAATATGTATTTATTTAAAAAATTGAGTTGCATGCAGTACATATGTCAGAGATTTTTAAACCGTGGGACAGAACACACTGAGCTATTGTAAGCCAACGGCATTGGGGTGGGGTGCAGAGGTGGTATTCAGCAGGTTCTGACCAGTTCTGGAGAACCAGTAGCGGAAATTTTGAGTAGTTCGGAGAACCGGCAAATACCACCTCTGACTGGAGATTTTACAGTATCCTTCCTCTGCCACATCCACCAAGCCACGCCCACAGAACCGGTAGTAAAAGAATTTGAATCCCACCATTGGTGGGGTGGGAATTACATTTCTTTTAAAAGGACAGGTTTGTGCGTGGGACAATTGTGGGACTGCAATTCCATCGCATTCAAAAAGCCTTGTTACAGAAGTTAACATTTAATTATTAAAAGTGGCATGTTTCTTGCAGAAGCCTATCTGAAACTATTGTCTCCAAAATGATGACGACACAGGTCACAAGGTAGCACTTGCATCTTCCAATAATGCACACCACTGTTGAAAATGGCATCAATTAAGACAGCTGCCTTCCCACAGGACCTGAGCATCGATCAACAGAATTAAAGGGGAAAGAAAACACGATGTATTCTGAGCAAGGAACACCCTGTTAATATGGTGCCTTCTTTCAAACCTTGCTAATATAGTCATCATCCCGAGCATGTATTGCTTGTTTTAAGGGTTAATTCAGTCTCACAAAATGGGCGGTTCATCCATTGATAAAACACCAAATATAGCAACTCTTTATCTGCCCAAAGGGAACTTTGAAGAATTGGCTGATGATTTCTCTTTCTCTATTCTACTGAAACATCAATCCAACATAGTGATATCAGTTAATGAATGATGACCCACCGGTAATACAACATCCGCCAATTGTAAAGAATGCCAGTTCAAATCTGCCCCTGGTTTTACTAGCTCCAGTAGGTAAAATGAATTCATCTGTATCCTGAAACAAAAACAATCCTTTTCAGCAATACCCGCATATGAATTCCATAGTTTCATGAAATGAAGCACATAATACTCTTTTACTTATGGAAAACTGTTAATTGTCTATAAATAAAATAGAAGGGAAAAGAACCCCCATTTTCCTTTTGAATGTTCAGTTATTACTGAGCCCTACAAAAGCGAACAATTGTATTTCTATAGTACAAATAAACGTTACTTACATTTCCAGCATTTAGTAAGGAGCTGTAATACGTTCTTAATCCAGTATTAGTTACTATCTACAGGGATGATGTAATAAGCTGTACTAACACTGTTGCATAATACCCTCTGCTTCAGAAATTAAAGTCAACCCATAGCTGTGTAATTTGTGTATGCTTTCAGACTAGTGCTGACCAGGAGGTTGTCTGCTCAACACACTCTCAGAAAAGCACAATACTGTTAACACTGGTGTCAGATACCTCCAGAACGGAGAAAATGACAGACAGCTAAACACACAGTATTTTTCTCTCCCAGCAGTGTAACACTGTCAAAGACACAGTTCTGACACAGACAGCTGACCACCGCTGGAATTTAGGAACAAAATATACTTAGCTCTGAGATTACGGGCCAGGTCGTCTATAGACTGAAAGAACCCACAGAAAAATAAAATAAAAACCTTTCACTGAGGTTTGATTCATGAAAGAGTGTCCAGTATTTTCTTTTACCAAATACTTTGTGGGAGAAATGTGTTTTCACCTGAAGTCAGCCAGTCCTCCAGTCAGAGGAGAAAGAAAACAGTTCCTGACCACAATCAACTGTGTTCACCTGAGTGCCAAGTCTTCACGTACGTTTTTAGTTACCCATTTTAGTCTTATTCAAAACCACTATACAGATAGGCCTTGACTTACAACAGTGCATTTAGTGACTGTTCAAAGTTACAGCGGCACTGAAAAAAGGAGAGTCATAAAATGGGGCAACAAA